TATTAATATTATTATTATTAATATTATTATTATTAATATTATTATTATTATTATTATTATTATTATTAATATTATTATTATTAATAATATTGTTTCTATCACGAAACCGTGCGCTGCGCTCACCCGCCATGTTGAGCGAGATGAAGAAAGCGGCGGCCGCCATGGCGAAGGCCTGCTGCACGGCGATGACGATGAAGAAGATGACGGCGGCCATGATCCACAGCACGACGTACACGCTGCTGAAGCCCAGCCACGGCACCAGCAGCTCCCGCCGGCCCTGCGCACGCACGAAGCGGCTAGGCCCGCCCTTGCACACGCTTCCGTTCCACGCACGCAACGCGCACGCGCACTCACGCTCACGGGCGGCAGGGCCGCTATGCGCACGCGCGCGTTGGCTAACACTGTCGACATCGTCCTTTGATTTGATTGATACATTCTTGCATTCGTTCATTATTTCATTCATTCGTTCATTATTTCATTCATTCGTTCATTATTTCATTCATTCGTTCATTATTTCATTCATTCGTTCATTCTTTCATTCATTCATTTATTCGTTCATTCTTTCATTCATCCGTTCATTCTTTCATTCTTTCGTTTATTCTTTCATTCATTCGTCCATTCGTTCATTCATTAGTTCATTCGTCATTCATTCATTCATTCATTTGTTCTGTCTTTCATTCATTCATTCGTTCATTCATGCACATCGCTTTGTAAAAAGTGTATGGTTAGTTTGCCTGACCCCGGGCGGGTACTCTTCAAACTTCATTCATTTGTGATGCCACTGATTTGTTGCCACTAATTTATTCATTAGTTGATGCTACACATTATTGGTTCCGCGTTCAATTAAGGTCATTATTGTTGTAAGTGTAGTGCGTGCTTTTATTGTGGGAGGTAGCGTTGGTCTTCCCCGCTGGATGGCGGGATCCGGCACCGACCTGCCGTCACGTATTCTCCCACCTAGGTATCTCCCAACAGCGGAGCAGAGCCCCAGCCGGGACAAGCTCTCAGCTCCCGACCGGTCTCCCTGCATGTGTAGTAGTTAAGAGCAGATATGTGTAAGTAAATGGAAGAAGGGGGATGAGGATAGAACGGGGAAGGGAAAGATCGCACGCGGACCATGTCCCGTTTGTTAGGGTACTGCTCCGGCATTCCCCTGGTGTTATTGGATAAACCACAGACACATGCCGATCAGAGCAGCCGGCCGCTAGAATTCCCCCCACACACACAGCGACTGAACTCGCTGCCTAGCTAGTGTCGGAAATCGTGCCGCCGTCGGGACTTGAACCCTGGCACCACCCGGACGGAGGGACTGCAGTGACGTCACTTGATGTCCTAAGCCACCTCACCCAGTCAGTGGAATATTTTTTGAACGCTCTTCAGATGAGTACTGACTAAAAGTCTCTTTCCATAACCAACTTCACATCTCCCCCACATTCCCTACTTAGGTCCCGGTGCCCCTCTCCACTCACCTTGAAAGCGCCAACCGCGAGGAGGATGGCCGAGAGCGCCAGCAGCGCAGCGGCTATCCACGCCACCAGCTGGCCAATCAACCCGGCTGCGCAGGTGAAGCACACACACACAATAGTTATTGAGGCCGATTCACATTACCTTTCGTAGTTCATTTTACGCACGAGGGTTGGGGCATAAGTTATGGCAACTGTTTTGATTTGTGGTGGAAAATGTGAAACATACACATGAAAAGACAACTTAAGTGAACGGAAATATAACCTCACATCAAAATTGTGATTTTCCTATTAAGATTTTAAAATGGCTACTGGTTTCATGTCTGAAAACATTTTAGCATATAAAAGTTCATAACTTTCCAAAAACATTACATATCCGTTCTAAATGCCCGATTACGCAGGTGATCGATTATCGCACGAGCCACATCGATCCGCACTCTTTATTGTTGTCACGTGCGTTGCTGATCACTGGCTGCTACGCCTCCTTGCAAAAACTCTCCTGCCCATCTCGCGTCTGTCTGGTATGCAAGGGCGTTATTGTCAACAGCTTCCACTTATTCGCTGTGTCGTTCTAGGAAAGTATTTTCTCCCATTGGATAACGGCCATCTTCGTGCATGAGCGCTGCTCGAAATATGCTACATTCATTTCGCTCACCGGTAGTCAGATTTGACATTGGTCTCTGTGCTAATAGACACACATACAGGTACTAATGTGTGTTCACAACAATAGATATCCAACTTTTCTTTCACGAGACAAATAAAATTGTGTAACTCGATAGCATTTCTTTAAAAAAGAAAAAAAAAGTTGCCATGACTTCTGCCCCAACCCTAGTAATACATATTCGTATCTCGCACGTTTCATTCACCAAGTCGGAGATGCTCTGTTCTCATGAGTGTTCTCCACAGACCAATTAACAAAACTAGTTAGAAATTAAACATTTCTTCAGAAGACGACAACTGTCAGTTTTAATTCTTCGTTATGTAGTGTTTTGTTAGTTTACGTGTTTTATATCGAATTATACTTTTTGATTGTATTTCTTGTTTGATCTTATTTTTTCATATTTTTTAAAGTGTACAATTGCACAATTTAGTAAGCAGTATTATTTTTGTAGTTAAGTATTATTTTATGTAGTTCCGTGTTCGCTAAAATTTTGGTGTTATATTATTTGTAGTCTGAAGAGGGGGAATTATTCATAGAAACGTTGCACAAAAAACTATGTAAAGAAGAATTGAAACTTGGTTGCCTTATTCTATACAAATATGTTTATTTTAAATTAATATGTCATTTGGCCTGTCAAGAAGGCTTCTGTGGACAAAGTATCTTTCGACGTCAGTGTTTCGTGTTATGTAGATATGGTATTGCCTATTAATTAGTCGTCTCTGCTTCCCAAAAAAACATATTTTATAAAAACTCTTCATTGACGTTACATCTAGTCATTGACTTCTTCAGTAATGTAATTTTTTTCATCGGCTAATTTATTAAATTAAATTTACGTTATTCATCAGATTCATCCTAACTGAGTGATACGGTAGATAAGAATTTTCATAAATTCAAAAGGTGCGGGCACTTAAAATTGATACTCAAGGTCTTATCTACTTTATATCAATGGATAAGAGCACATTTATTGTATGTTCAATTTTCCTAATTCTGAGAAATTCAAGCTTGAACGTTCGTAAAGATGCAGTTGCTTGTGCAGAAATGAAGTTTTGTTTCTGAGAAAAGCATGATTGGTTTTGTAGAAACATACAATCTTTGTAGACCAGGAAGATATGCACGAGAGACATCAAAAAATGATATTAACTCTAAATTGACCTTAAGTGGACATACAATCTTTGTGCATTCAATCATCGATGTATAAGTGGATTGTCAATCAGAAAAACTATAAAAAGTATATTTTACCGTACGTTTGGTATTCGTCTGTAATTAACCGCTTTTCGTAGGCACGTGCAGACGACTGGTTTTACCCCTCTAGTTTTACCACGGCTCGTACTTAACAGAACAAGTATTTGATTCCGAGCAAAGCAACTATTGAGGTCATTAGTTTCGGAAGTACAGTGCACGTTACGTCCCCAATGATGGCGGTGTTCCTCTGTCACTGGAATGTGAAATCCGGCACCCGCATACACGCAAACTTGAGGTTTCCCCCCTCCAAGTATTTCATCTAGCGGTGTACCGCCCCATCGGGGACAAGCTCTGAGCTCCCCACTGGTTACCCGATAAGCCTCAGTGAATAGGAACACCGCCACCTCACGACTTTAATATGTACTACACTTTCAGGACTATTGACCAAAATTCTCGTAGGAGTTGACGTGCCCGGAAAAGCTAAATACTAGGACGTCTCATGAGAGCTGCTGTGGCGGTGTGTAAAGAAAAGAATAACTAGTAGGAAAGCGCAGTATACCAAATCTGTATCCTCTTAATGCCAAGAAATGCAAATTACATATTGTCGGGGAAATGTCGCGATTGCCGTCCAGTAATTTCTTAAAGTTTCTGCGGACGGGAGGTATCCACCGAACTAAACTTAAACTAATACAATAGTTTTTAATTGCGTTTTACTTTAAACGAAGAACTAGCAAACTACAATACGTGCATTCTTGTATTATTTGTAACGATTACGTACCATTGTAATATACGTTTTATTTAACTAATTCTTCAGTTATCTCTTCAAACTTCTTTTCCACTAAAAAAGCACGGAATATTTGAATATGAAATTTTCGAAATTTGAGAGATTTCGACTACAGAAGAACTTAAACCATTCCTTTTTAATAGCGCTTTTCTATGTTCGAGGAACTAGGAAACTACAACTGCAATTATTATTCTTTGTAACCGTTGTGTAACATAGTAATACATTTTTTATCATATTAACTCACCTCTTGTGGGGCGTGTATCTATGTGTGTAATGTTTCTGTGATTATTAATCATTTATTTCTGTGCCCCAGATTTGAGGCCGACCGGACGAGGCAAGGTGTCAATAACGACATGGCAAAAGTACTGAAGGACAAAGAACAGTGCAGTCGGTTTCTCAATTTTTTGAAGGTCATAAACTTGCTCAACTTGTACAATTTAAACTTGTATTTAAAATGTATAAACTGGATAATATTGTGATGAGAAATGTTCTCACCCAACGTGTCATAATACACCAAGTACAAAAATAATGTTATCGTGTAGATGTCGCTAATAACCTCTGTTGTTAATGCGACATAAAATAAAATAAATAAACAAGCGATAATAAATGAATCGTGCTGTGGTACTCACTGTCGAGTTGGCGGCACATGCGCTGCCCGCAGACGCCCAGCGTGAGCGGCGCCGCCACCAGCAGCAGCGCGTACACGCCCGACACGGCCGCGATCACGAACACGCCCGTGCGCAGCTCGCACGCGCACGCGAAGGTGCGCGGCAGCGTGTCCCGCCACTTGACGCGCCTGCGCACGCCACGCGCAC